CACTCGGCACAGCTCCACCATCAACGGTTCAGCGGACACGCCCGGTGGCTAACGACCCCAGTCTTCCGCGCTGTCGGCCCTGACGGCATCAACGCAGCTGGCCCGAAGCAAGACCTCCTCCACGACTACCAGTTCCTCGCCAGCATCGCAAGGCACTGCAACGGTCGATTCGACTACGTCTTGTCCGTTCCCGAATCCGCACTCGGCGACGGCCGCGCCACCTCCAGTTCTCCCCACGCCAGGACCATCCGCTATGGCTGCAACCTGCTGATGGAGAGGAAGGAAACAAGCGCAAGAACTCTTTGCGAGGGCCATACGAATACCGTCTACACTGTGTTGAGCACGGAGCTCGTTGGACAGGAGGACCTGCACCGCCAGCTGCGGCACTCATATGAAGGCGGGAAGATGAACTTCACGGAGCCTATCGTCCGGGTCACATCGCCCCCAGCGGCAGACAACCTGGCTGGAGAGGTGGTTGACATATTCATTCCCAAGCGATCCGAGCCCGCAAGTGAAACGTTGGCCGAGAAGCTGGCGGGCATCGTATTGCCCGACGACTGCTGTGCGAACTGCAATCAGGTGCGAAAGTGTTCGGGATCGACCGAGGGGACATGCAGCACGGTGCTGACGCCAACACGCTCGGCGTCGCTTGCCTCTTCATATGGACGCATAGAAGATTCTGTCGAGGCCCTGGACAAGCTCGAGGATGAGCTCGAGGCGCTAGACGCCGCCACGCGCGTCGATCACTTTGTGTCTCCTAAGAAGAACAAGCGGAGGTCCCTGATGACAATGGGCGAGGCACCGCGCATCGACCGAGTTGAGCTCAAGAGGTCATCATCAGTCACGCACGGGTCCGCTGGCAGGTCAGCCACGGTACGCGTCAAGCCGACCGAATTGCGACCGACGCTTCCAACGCTCCGAAAGTCGGCGTCATTGACAGGCCTGGCCAGGGATGAGTCGAAGGACGTTGCGGCAGTATGCGAAGGGGGCGTGTCGGCCCCAGCAACATGTCGCAAGCCGGTCGCTGCCAGGCCTCCCAGTCTCAACCCTCCCAAGGCGGCTGTCAAGTCTGCCAAGGCGCCGACCAAGGCAAGCTTTGAACTCCCAGGCGAGGCCGTGGCCCGAAGAATCAAGGAGCAGAGGGAGGCTCGCCAAGCAGCGGCGGCAGCGGCAGCAGCAGCAGCAGCGCAAGCGAGCCCTGACAAGACGACAGCGACCACAACACCAATGCCTCAGCGATCAAGATCTACCAAGGCACCGACCCGGCCGAACTTTGAGCTACCCGGCGAGGCCATCTCGAGACGGAAGCGAGAGCAGAGAGAAAAGGAACTGCGAGAGCAGGAAGAGGCAGAGAAGAAGCGGCGAGAGTTTCGTGCGCAGCCGGTGCGCGTCAATCCAGCAGCAAGCACATTCCCCCGCGAAACAGCTGCGAGTCGCGCTCGCCGTGTCAAGGCTGGCTCGGGAGCGGAAGAGAAGGCGCCGCTCGCTCGCTCGACGCCAGTGACGACAGCGGCCACGGCCTCGAAGCGCATGTCGATGGTGTCGGCAGGCACAGGTCGGCCTGCACTCGCAAGGGCGGCTAGCACGTCGTCAAAGCCGCGCGGTCGAGATGTCGCTGTGTCATCGGATGAGCCATTGGCTAGTCGGGGAACGTCGAGCTCAACCCTCAGCGGAAGCGGCACGAGCAGCGGCACAAGCAGCGGCACCAGCAGCGGCACCAGCAGCAGACGCAGCGCCGTGTCGGTGGAGGAGGTGCAGCGACAGAGGCTCCGTGGCAAGGTGATTTACGAGCAAGACAACTGCTACGTCGAGGAGCGGGAGCGCGAGCGGCGCGAGCGTGAGGCGTCAGCTAAGAGAGCCCGCGAGGAAGCTGCTGAACGCTCTAGGCAGGCAAGCCGAGCGTGGGCCGAGAAGCAGAAACGACGCCTGACGGCAAGCTTCCAAGGGTGATGCAGTCAGCTTCCAAGGGTGATGCAGGTCTTGTACGTTGTTGTATTTTTATCGTCACAACTAGTGCACGGGAGTTTGGGGGCGTTTGGGGTTTCTTCTGGGTTTCGGAACCTTGTTCTTGTTTGTCTTGACAGCCAGCCTTGGAGTTCAAAGGCGTCGTGGTTCCGAGGAACTGAGGCTTCATCTGTCTGCCTCACTTAGGTAGTCTGCTTTGTGATAGTTTCAGAAAACAACATTTCTAGGTGCTCATTATCCTGCTATGACAACTGAGCATGCCACGACCACCCATTTAATCCCATGTTGTCTTCTCAGGGGCAATCGGCAGACGGCGAGTCGGCACTGGGCACATAGTATTTATTGACCTCGACATCCCCCGCACGATAAGGGCCTCCACTTTGAACCTTCATCATCCATGTCAGGTATGGATGGCCTCACCGTCACAACTTGTACTTCGCCGACTGACTACGAGTACGGATATCCATGTCTGCTCTCTATCTTGTCCACAGTGCCATTTTCTCTTTACCCACTGAAGACGTCATTCAATCAGCGGCCTCACAATGTCGCAGCCCACCGTTCGCCTCCGACAGGGAACATATCGCGGCAAGACACTGAATGAGGAGCCAAATCATGCCCACTTACCGCAGACCATTGAGGCTTTCCTCGGCCTGCCCTACGCCAAGATCCCCGGCCGGTTTCGCGACGCCGATGCGCCACCTTGCAGCGAAGCGACATTTGATGCCGTCAAGTACGGCCCCGTGTGTCCCAGTATCTTGAGCGAGATGGATCTCGCCGAAGGATGGGCCGTGGAGGAAGATTGTCTCAGCGCGAACGTCTTCCGGCCGGCGGGGCTCAACGAGGGCGACGCGGTGCCGGTGGTTGTGTACGTACACGGCGGCACATTCAACATGGGCAAAGGGGGTGATCGGGACATGGCGAGCTTCGTAGCCTATGCCCGAGGACCCATCGTCGCCGTCAGCTTCAACTACAGGGTCGGGCCGCTGGGGTTCCTGCCGTCGTCTGCTATGGAGGAGGAGGGCCTGTTGAATCTGGGGTTGAGGGACCAGAGGGTTCTGCTGAGATGGGTCAGGGATAACGTTGCGGCATTTGGAGGAGACGGCGAGAAGGTGACGCTCATGGGCGTCAGCGCTGGAGCACACTCGGTGAGCTTTCTCGTCCCAACTGGGGCCGGTACTCTTCCCCACGGGTTTGGCTACTGATCATGCGTTTGAATAGATTGGACACCACCTCCTCACCCCTGACCCTGACAGTGGCCCTTCTGCCTCGGCCCCCTCCTACCGAGCATTCTCGAATCCGGCGCGGCCACGGCCCGCTCCGTGCTCTCGG